TCAAAGTTGCCAGAACTTTTTTGCTTTTTCGGCTCAATCACGAACCTGATGGAGGAACCAAGACCACCTGTGGACTCTGCCGATCGAGGCGGCGTTGAGAGAGCGATGATTGAAGACCAAGCGCAGCCACGGTAAAGATACGTGGCGACGCGTGGAACCTTATAGTGGTTTCTGTTTTGAGCGATACGATAAAATTTGAACAATTTTACCCTTGAAAGCTCTAGTGCCGAGTGCCATTTTGTGTTGTCACGGTTGCTGAAAGTTTTAGGATGAATAATAACAACCCTCAAGTAGTGAATTCGCATCTCTCCTAGTTTACGGACCCACAGACAAGATCCCTCGTATTGTGTTGTTTGCATTTTATTATTGCAGTTTTGGATAGTCATTTACTTTTACCATTGGTTAGGTTTGCTGTGTGAGGATAATCATTGCCTATTGCTAGATCTGAAAATTATTGGCCTTAAATGCTTTGTGAATTTTTTGTCAAATTTTTTATGCTTTATTAGAATTGCATGTGACTTTAGAAAAAATTATTTGAATATTTAAATTCTTTGTGAATTTATTGTCAAAATTTTTCATCATTGTTAGAATTGCATGTGAACCTTAGAAAGTTTGTTTGACTATTCTATGTGAATTGTGTCTGTACTTTGCTTATAGTCATTATTTGATATTGATGAAAAATGTAGGTCAAAATACGTACGAAAAGTAAGAGGTTTTAACTGTAGTATTTTAGACATATTGAAAGAGATTATCCTACAAAGGATAATAAGAGAAAAGAAGAGAAATGGGATTAACGTTGCCACTGGGTTGAGTTATGACCCGAATGAGGTTCATTGAGAATAAATCTAGTTATTGCATGTGCATCTATGTATAATCCTTTCTGCATGTATGATTACTTAATTCTGTTGCAATTTATATGTTACATTTTCAATGTATTTGGTATGTGCATGTACATGAATTTTATAGCAATTTGATTACTTAATGTAATACGTTTGCGTGACATGATAGTGGAGGGTACACACAAAAATATATATGCACATACATGGCACAAAAGTTTAGGCAAAAAATAAAGTTCAGAGCATGATTTTTGAATTCTATCTTACAAAAATTTATTTGATTTGACAAGGTCGGATTATAATGTGCAAGTGATTTGTCCTGTTTAATTTTATTTCTTCATGTTGATAAATATTATGATACTGAAAGTTATGATATGAAATGATCAACAGCTACCAAATAAATGATATATTATGAGCTCTTATTGATTTCTAAAGATATGATATGATAGTATGATATTTTTGATGAATAATATAATACTTTTATTTGGAATTGCACCATTATTTTGTGTCTTATTGAGTATTTTTATGTACTCATTCTAGAGGTGGGCGCGGGTCGGTTCGGTTCGGTTCTAAAGAGAACCGAACCGAACCGAACTTTTTGGGTATCTAATAAATGGAACCGTCGGGTCCAAATATAATTATGGAACCGTTCGGGTTCGGTTCTGTTCGGTTCGGTTCCATTCGGTTCTGTACTATAATTAAATTTTTTAACATTTATAACAACATTATATAAATGCAACTAATGATACATTCAATGGTTTTGGAATGTCAGAGACTAGTAAACTACCTTGTTCAAATGATTTCTACGATCAAAGTTTCGGTTGGCGAAGGTCACAGCTTCAATCGGAGGTCACAGTGTCGGCCGATGATTGTATAGATTTTGGAATATTAGTGAGGCTGAGAGTGAGTGCGAGAGTCGAGACAATGTTATGCACTTTAGTGTTGGTGTTTAGGGCTATTTAGTGAATTTGATCTTGTTTGGCTAAAAAATGAAATAATAAAATGGGTAATTGGGCCAAAAATTAAAAAATTAGAAATGAAACAAATTATTCGGCCAAAAATTTGGATTTAGAAATCGTTAATTTGTTAATTTGTTAAGAAAAAATTAAAATTAAAATAATTTGATTTACTCAATATAAGAAAAAATTAGAAATATTCGGTTCTTATTTGGTTCTTCGATTCTTGGTCTAGAACCGAGAATCGAACCGTACCCGTCGGTTCTCAATTCAGATACACGTTCGGATATTTAATTTGACAAGAACCGTCGGGTTCGGTTCGGGTTCGAGTTCGAGTTCGGGTTCGGTTCGGTTCGGGAGATTTGCCCAGCCCTAACTCATTCTTTGTTCCCTATCCCTTACAGGTTAGAATGAGTCGTTGATTGGAAGGCGATAAGGTGCAGTCGTGGTGTTAGAATATTTGGAATTAATAAATCAAATCCAGTGTAATGTGATGGAATATTTTTAATTTCAACATTATCTTTACTTTATTATCATAAAGACTTTTATGTAGAAATTTAAGATATGATTTAATTGGTCATAAAATGCAATCCTATATTAGTGGAATCAACATTTTATCATTTATCTAATAAATGTGATATGCACGGTAATTAGCATTTAATTGAAATTTTCATGAAATGCAAATTAAGGACACATTTGTATCAAATAAGGTTTGCTTGCTAAGTCCATATGTGAAAGTGCTTAAATTGGCTTAATTATGTAATTAAGTGATTTATAAATTAATTATGGGACAAGAATGACGACTGAAACAATGCAAATTGGTGAGAGGCCCAGCTGAGAACTAAATATAGTAATAGATCAAATAATCGTAGGAAATAAAATCTAGAAAACAAGACACTGTCGAGATCAGCAAAATAGTTACCCATTAATACGGAGGATTTGGATGGTTCCTTTGTTGGGAATTGATTTTTCACCTATGATATGAAAAAGTTAAGAAGCAATTTGCTCATTGCTAAAAGTCATGAAAATTTGTTACCAATCAATAGGTGAATGACCAATTTCACTTTATCTCTACTTGGATGATCATAATTATATGGGTAATACAATCGTGCAAACATTTCTTTCATCCATATTTTGGACGTTTGTTTAATGAACCCATGTTTGGTAGGAATTAAAATCAAATTTTTAGTAGATTTTAATAAAAGTTGATGAAATATGTGGTTGAAAAGTTATGAATTCCATGAAATGTGTGATTAAAATCAAATGTTGACTTTAACTTAAATTAAAATTTAAACTTTAAGCTCTACCTATGCATGGACGGATGCACATGGGGTCAATAATAGGACTTTATTCTTGATTGTTCACATTTACAGACTACAGTTACCCTATTCTTCAATAAAATAAATAAATAAATAATCCCTCCTTCAACATTAAATAAATCGTCGTCCAATCTTCAATTTCAATCTCTATGCTTCAATCAAGTATGGAGTTTTTATATTTAAAATTAAAAGTATTAATGCTTATAAGTGATTTCTCTCATTTTTCACTCAAATCTATTTGTTATTATTGGGGTTTTCAGTTTTGTACTGTAATTGTTGAGTTGTAACTGGATTTGGAACTTGTGTTGTTTGGTGTTAAATGAGAGTGTGTGAAGTATGTAATATATAGTCTATATTGTAAACCGTCATTGGGACACTAGGTAAGGCTAGAAGAAAACTCTCGAGCGCGAATTACTGAAACATATTGTCCTTAGAGCGCTTGAGTTTTGCTCGAGCATCCTTAAGATGCTCATACGCACCTAATTATGTTCGGGTGGTATTTTGGGCAAGAAAACTCAACTTTCAAAGTATGGAATTGCGTAAATACAACAATAGTAATGTATTGACTTATTTTCATTAATGTTATATTGTTTTAAAAAAAAAAAAATTACATTATAATTTTTTATCCTAAAATACAAAAAGTCTGACTCCACTCCAGTACCTAGAGGAAATATGTTACTGCTGAAACAAGGAAGGAAAGAACGAAATCTTAGATCCTACAATGTTGAAAATAAAACGACACCACAATGGACAAAAGAAAAGATGAAAACAAAACAAGTCTGCTACATGAACATGCTCAATGAAAGTTTTTTTTTTTTTTACACAGTACACTTGGCAAAATTTCATTTGCAGTTGAAAAAAAGTAAAACAAAAAGTTGTCAATCAAAAATTGCCAGCTCATTCACTGTAAATAAGTCCCCAATTCGACTAGTTTAATTCAACACAAAAACAGTGCACGGAGGGCCCACTCACCAATACAGATAAGGCCCAATCAGACTATTTAAAGACCAAAGTGTCGGCAAAGAAAAAGACACTTTACAAGTGTCCACTGACTCAAAACAGTTGGCCCAATCCGACGGCTCATTTAGACAGTTCCAGGAAAATCACATGATAGTGGGGCCCAATATCTCGGCCCGCATTTCGCGGTCCTTCTTATCTCAGCCAGTTGTCATTTTAAGTCTCAATCGGCAAACTTAATTAATTTTTAATCATTTTGGAATATATTTAAATGCCTTAATTAACACTTCTGATTAGGTTGAGTGACCAACTTAATTTACCACAAAATTATCCCTAAATTTTAGTGATTGCTGTAGTTGTCAAAATTATTTAGGATGGGAAGTTTTTCCGAAAATGACTCGATATCAAAACAAATAGATTCAGTCGACCGACAAGGTCTGAATTCAGTTTAAATCTACAATTTTTATTTTAAGAACTGAGAACAATGCGAATCTGTTAGCAAAGCTGATAAAGGGATAAATATGGAGAAATAGAGATGGGATTTTCACGAGTTTCATTTCAAAGTATCCATTCATTCGAAATTGATCTGCTTCCATTTTAATTTTTCGTCACTTCTGCGTAACATCGCTCCTCTCACATGCTTCTGCATACTGATAAAAAACTTAAACGACGGCTCTTGATCAGATTGATAGGGAGTAAGCAAATTCTATGATTAGTCTTTGAATTCCCTGTTAGAAGCGACCAAAGATTGTGGTGTAGTATTAATATCAATTTAAGAATCGACCCTTGGTACAATTTGTATTTACTTATCTAATTCAATTGATGGTGTAAAACATGTAATACGTTCAATTAAAACTCACACAGAATCGAACCATATCTACCCTTACTTGAAACAAGGGACTAAATCAAAATTAAATTTGTGGACGATAATATAGTTAAATACCATAACTACCCTTGAACACATTGAAACTATATACGAATACGAAAAAATTAAGTGGGCCTAACCAGGAAACTTTATTTCCTCTTTACTTTACAACGAAAAAAGTAAGAACACAAATCTAAAGATAAGGACTTGTACTTTCAATCCCTCATCCCCAAGATAAGAATAAATATCCTACTTTTTTTTCTTTTAAAAAAAAAAAAAAATTAAACCGCCGAACTTAAAATAAAAATAAAAATAAAAATAAAAATAAAAATAAAAATAAATCAAATAAATCACTTTACAGACTTGCGGTGATTGTGGCCGTAATAAGAAAGGTACCATTTAACAAATTTCTTCAACCCGGTTTGCAGATCCGTTGTCGGTTTATACCCGAGTTCTCTTCGGGCCAAACTTATGTTCGCATGAGTAAAAGGAACGTCGCCGTTTCCGGGCATTTCAACCATATGCTTTTTAGCTTTAACTTTCAATTGCCTTTCCAATATCCCAACCATCATAGGAACAGTCACCGGCGACGTATTACCCAAATTAAAGATCCGATACTGAGCCGGGCCCCGTTTCTTCCCACCCGACCCGGTACTCTTCTTCGACGTATCAATAGAAGCTACACAACCCTTGACAATATCATCAATGTAGGTAAAATCCCGGGCCAAGTCGACCCGGTTCTTGCCACGATAAACTGTTATCGGTTTTCTCTGCAAAATGTTCCGGGTGAATGAGAAGTACGCCATGTCGGGTCGTCCCCAGGGGCCATAAACAGTGAAGAACCTCAATCCTGTAATGGATAATCCGTAAATATGATTGTAAGTGTGGGTAATTTCTTCTCCGGCCTTCTTCGTGGCAGCGTATAACGAAGCGGGCTGGTCGGTCCGATGCGATTCAGAGAAGGGAACCTTTTCGTTGAGGCCGTATACCGAGCTGGAGCTAGCCCAAACAATTGAAGGCTGTGGATTGGCGGTTTTACAGGCTTCGAGAAGAGTGACTAATCCTGCAATATTACTGTGAACGTACGAATGTGGATTTTCAATGGCGTATCGGACCCCAGCCTGTGCAGCCAGATGCATTACGTGTGTAAACGCCACAACATCAAAAAGCTTGGCCAACAATTGAGCATCATTGATATCTCCTTCAACAATGAAAATATTTTGAGCATTCAACAAGCTTTTTCTGGCCTTTTTCAATGATGGGTCGTAATAATTGTTGAAATTATCGATACCCACAACGCCGTCGCCGCGTTTTTTCAAGGCGAGGCTAACGTGGGTGCCTACGAAACCGGCGGCCCCGGTGACGAGAACGGAGAACCCATTTGCACGGCGGACCTGGGCAGAGGTACGTACTTGTTTCTCCCAGTGGATACCACCCCAGGTGGATGAGAAATACCGGCTACCCGAATCTACAAACGATTGGAAACTCAAATACGACGCCGTTAATGCCACCAAGAACAAAGCCCACAAAAACAACGTACTAGTAGATGCAAAACAACGATGGAACTGTCTGTGCATTGTGTTGCTCCTATCCTTAAACTTCCCAGGCGTTGATGGGAGAAACAACTCTTCTTCATCCAATGAAGGCATTTTCTTCAGCAATTATACGAGGAAAAGAATACGTATAGACAGAATAAAAATGGTGTTTTCGAGGGGGAAGAATACGTACAGAGAAAAAAGACAGATGCAGATGAAAATGGGATGCACCTGCTAAGGGTAATACGAGAAAATAGAGAGAGATATATACAGGGCATCCACAGACAAGCATTACGCGTAAAAAAACGCGTTAAAGGACAGCCAGAGTGGAAAAAATATGAATAGAGAGAGAGAACTATCAAAATAGTCTGTAGATTTGATTATTCAAAAGATTTTTGTTTATTAATTATTTTCCTGTTTTGGAGAGAGAATAATGGGGAGGGATAGACGACAATTCAACGCGGTGGATTCGGTACTTAGTAGTAAAATAGGAAGTCCACACGGTAAGTAGGGGTGGCAATTTGTCGGGTTGGAGTAAAAAAATAAATATGAGATAAAAATATACAGAAATTTAATATAATTAAAAAAGAAAAATAAGACCAGCGTGGGGATGGTCGGATCTGTTCCTATTGAAAATTTTGTTTGGTTGTCAATATTTTTCCATAAAAATATATTTTTTCCATCATAATTTTTATTTGTGTAATGTTTGATTGACATTTTTTCATGGAAAATATTTTTCTATTTTTTATTATGTGATTATATTTTTCTCAATATTTTTTAGGGAAAGTAAGATTTTATTTTTTAGGGAATTCACTCTTTCTTTCTTTGTCTTTTTATTCCTTCTCTCTTATCTGCCTATCTATAAAAATGAACAAATATAATATTTTCTAGATTAAAAATTAAATAAATCAAACATATTAAATTAATAATTTTCATATAAATAAGTTTTAGGCAATTGAATTATTTATAATTTATTTTCTTTCCATGTAAATTTAATACTTGCAATCAAACGTACCTTAAATATTTTTTTATAAATTGAAGTACTTCGAATTATTAGAAATTGTCATATCTTTAAATGTTGTCTATATACAATTAAATTACAGGGGATTTTAAGTAGTCTTGAATAATAGAGTCTCAATAGTTTGTGCTTACTATGTTTGTTGTGGAAAATCATGATTGAATAAAATTAAATAGGAAGTGAAGAGACAAACTGATATATCAGAAAATTATTTGGTGTTTTTGTTTTAATTTTTCAAATTGTCCAATTATTGTATCGACAAGTTTCTCATCTGAATTTGAGCCTAAATATTAAGCCCGATTGATCACGACTCGGTAAGAATTGAAATGCAATGCGTTTAGTTATTTTATGTAGTGAGTGTAAGAGTGAGTTTGGTTTCATACAATGGTTCTTTTTCTTTTCTCATTTCCGTATTTTAGTTGTTATTTCTAGTGATGGTGTTGCGGGTATTGCGACAATTTAAAGATAGAAAAAATGTTTAAGATGGTTACTAATTGTTTTTAAGTGTAGTTTAGAAACAAGAAAACTATTGGACTTGGTAAAATTTCTTAAAAAAAATAAGTATATACAACACCCTAAGACATTTGAAAAGTATTTGTCTTTATTCATTGAATGCATCTAATTAGTGAGTAATACCACCACGTTATCAAAATTTAATTTTAGTGACACGTGTCTAGAGCAAGAGCAGGGAGAAGGCGAAATTGACATAGACCATGTTACACAAATATAATTGTTGACATGAGGGATGATCGAACACTCATACCTCGGGGGTCGAGCAATATTTTATTCATGCGGGGTCCACGCTCCATGTGAGGGTCGGTCATCAAAATTCAGGCATTTTAACATTTTCCATCGACATAATACCATTGTAGATGTCAAGTTCTTTACTTTTTATTATTATATTCTTCGTTTTATACATTAAGCCCTTATTTGAGCACTTTTTTTGAGAAAAATAATGAATTTTTGAATAGTATATTGATCAGAAATGTGTGATTAAAAAATAAAGAATTTTTTTGAATTTATGTGTAATATTAATTTATTGAAAAATGTGTGGTTTAAATTGTATTAGAATACTGTTAAAAAAATTCAATTTTTTTCCCAAAGAATGAGGCTCAGACAAGGTATAAATCATTTTTTTGAAAGTGTGTTATAGTTGAACCTTCCAAGCCCAAGTAAGTGGAGTATAGACATGCCTTGGCAAAGTTATTAGTAATCACATTCCATTCATCGAACCAAACCTCGTCAAATAGGGCCAATTTTTACCTTTGCTATCATATTCTACTCAAGTGACCTTATGGACAACAAATTTACTCAAGTGGCGATGCCTTATAAGACATTTATTATTGCTTTTACTTTTGTTTCTACTTTTTGTATAAGAGTTTTTTGAAAAAATTAATTTGTCATTTTCCTCTAAAATCTTATCTAGTTAGACAAATTAATTTAGTCTCTGTCCGGCTCCACTATTTGCAAAATTAAAATCTATTTTTATATAGTTTGTGGGTTCCATATCTGGCTTGTAGTGTAACGGAAATCAACAATTACGGTAGTTAACGGTCCAATAGTTCATTAAAACGTGGATGAAAATTGCTACAAAATAGGTGCTTAATAAAGAAGCAATTTTTGAATTCAAAAGCTTTGTCGATTCGGCCATGACTATCTTTGGTAGTGTTTTAAGTGTTGATAAGTTGGAAGTTCTAAGCTTTTAAACTCTTGTTTAGACTCCATTGAAATTAAATTATTGAGAAAAATATATTTTTTGAAATAGTGATTTTTTGAAGAATATATATTAAAAAATAAGGAAAAATTCTAATAGTTCGTACAATATTATTTTATTAAAAATGAGTTGTGAAAAAATCTATTATTTGAAAAATGGAGCTGGGCTAAGCCTTTGTTTGGACCTATTAAAATTTTAATACATTTGTTTCTTCTCCAATGAAATAATGATACACTTAAATTAAAAATCTTCTTTATTTTTTTAACCATATATTTTTTCAAAAATTATTGTTTCACAATACATTTTATCCAAATTTTTCATTAAAACAAGTGCCAAACAAGGGCTAAAATAGTGTCTTCAATCATTTTGGTTGGATACAACTACAATTTGACAAGTGAAAGAAATAAGCGCGAGTAGTCCTTTGATGTACTCGCGAGCGTGCGACTTTCGACCTCAAGGTGACATTTTGTCACGTTCAACTCAAAATGAATAGAACAAGAAAACCATTGGGCCCCTAGGGCACATCCAAGTTGGCGGAACAATCACATTGGGAAGTTCTGGAACCAAGTGTGGGGAATTCGATTCCTGGTGGGAACCTTTAATCCAATAAAGGAGGAATTATTGGTGAATTAATCACCATGGAGGAGGCTTCCTTTGGGGAAGAGAAGGAGTAAAAGCCATGTGGGAACCAACAAGGGCACATCTTGCGATTTACCTCCCTGAGCAGCTGAGGGGTCGAAGGTTCAGGGACGAGGATATATAGTCTGACGCAAGCTTGGAGCAGGGAGAAGGCGAAATTGACATAGACCATGTTACACAAATATAATTGTTGACATGAGGGATGATCGAACACTCATACCTCGGGGGTCGAGCAATATTTTATTCATGCGGGGTCCACGCTCCATGTGAGGGTCGGTCATCAAAATTCAGGCATTTTAACATTTTCCATCGACATAATACCATTGTAGATGTCAAGTTCTTTACTTTTTATTATTATATTCTTCGTTTTATACATTAAGCCCTTATTTGAGCACTTTTTTTGAGAAAAATAATGAATTTTTGAATAGTATATTGATCAGAAATGTGTGATTAAAAAATAAAGAATTTTTTTGAATTTATGTGTAATATTAATTTATTGAAAAATGTGTGGTTTAAATTGTATTAGAATACTGTTAAAAAAATTCAATTTTTTTCCCAAAGAATGAGGCTCAGACAAGGTATAAATCATTTTTTTGAAAGTGTGTTATAGTTGAACCTTCCAAGCCCAAGTAAGTGGAGTATAGACATGCCTTGGCAAAGTTATTAGTAATCACATTCCATTCATCGAACCAAACCTCGTCAAATAGGGCCAATTTTTACCTTTGCTATCATATTCTACTCAAGTGACCTTATGGACAACAAATTTACTCAAGTGGCGATGCCTTATAAGACATTTATTATTGCTTTTACTTTTGTTTCTACTTTTTGTATAAGAGTTTTTTGAAAAAATTAATTTGTCATTTTCCTCTAAAATCTTATCTAGTTAGACAAATTAATTTAGTCTCTGTCCGGCTCCACTATTTGCAAAATTAAAATCTATTTTTATATAGTTTGTGGGTTCCATATCTGGCTTGTAGTGTAACGGAAATCAACAATTACGGTAGTTAACGGTCCAATAGTTCATTAAAACGTGGATGAAAATTGCTACAAAATAGGTGCTTAATAAAGAAGCAATTTTTGAATTCAAAAGCTTTGTCGATTCGGCCATGACTATCTTTGGTAGTGTTTTAAGTGTTGATAAGTTGGAAGTTCTAAGCTTTTAAACTCTTGTTTAGACTCCATTGAAATTAAATTATTGAGAAAAATATATTTTTTGAAATAGTGATTTTTTGAAGAATATATATTAAAAAATAAGGAAAAATTCTAATAGTTCGTACAATATTATTTTATTAAAAATGAGTTGTGAAAAAATCTATTATTTGAAAAATGGAGCTGGGCTAAGCCTTTGTTTGGACCTATTAAAATTTTAATACATTTGTTTCTTCTCCAATGAAATAATGATACACTTAAATTAAAAATCTTCTTTATTTTTTTAACCATATATTTTTTCAAAAATTATTGTTTCACAATACATTTTATCCAAATTTTTCATTAAAACAAGTGCCAAACAAGGGCTAAAATAGTGTCTTCAATCATTTTGGTTGGATACAACTACAATTTGACAAGCGAAAGAAAAAAGCGCGAGTAGTCCTTTGATGTACTCGCGAGCGTGCGACTTTACACCTCAACGTGACATTTTGTCACGTTCAACTCAAAATGAATAGAACAAGAAAACCATTCCATTTTTGGTTAGCTTACGGTCAAAGCATCGTCACTCAGCGGTTCACGTAACTTCTGTACAACCAGTCACCACCCCTAGTCGAAAGGGAGTGACAGACAATTGCCGGTGGATTCGGTGCATGGTCCCCACATTTTAATTTTTATGTATTTACTATTGTCTTGTAGAAATTGTGGGCGGTGCACACCGACTCATCACTGTCCTCATCCCCTTGATTTCTGCGCCCCTCTCTCTCTACAGTTCTTTTGCCAACTTGTCTCTGCAGTTACTATTATACCAAGATTTAACCCCTTTTCACTGCCAATCCATGATTACATTAAAGTGAAGCTGTAGTGCATACTCCAAGAATAAATAAATAAATAGTGAAAAAAATAAAAATAAATAAATAGTGAAAAGTGAAAACCCACGAGGAAAATGAAAGTCTTTTGAAGGTATTTGATGGGCCCTACTAGCTGAGTAGGGTTGGCCCTGTTAATGAGTCGAGCTAGCCCGATTCGATCCATTGAAACTCATAATTGTGATTTGTTTCTAATGTTGATGCCGTGGCAAGGAATTTGAAATTTATTTTCTTTACATTTTATTAGAAAATCAAACTTCTATAATCATTGCAACCCATATTTGTATGAATTGTAGTGGTGAACTCGATCAAGCCACGAAAGTGTTCTGTCATGCTAGATCAAGCAATAAGTCTAACGTTAGTTATCAAAACTTGAATAGTACTATGACCCATTTCATAGAATTTTTGAAAAGTCGAAAGTAATTTTTGGGATTAATAAATTATTTTTGAATATATTTGGACAATTTTTTGAGTGTTTTCTAACTTTCGAACGAAGTTGAACCAATATAATTTATATTCATGAAACTTTTCTACAAGATATAGAAGTAAAGGTATAAGTTTAGTCAAGGAAATCCTTAGTTTGATAGGAATTACTTCTATATGTGCAATTTTATAACATCTTAAGCAAAGAATTGAATTAAATAAAAAGATGAATTCGTATAGGTAATGATCAAAGTATGTCACAATGTATCTCAAATTTAAAATACCATGGAGCCTTCTAGGGACTTTCACTTTTGATTATATAATACTTTGATTATCCTTGGTAGGTAATGGATCATGCGAGAATAGAATAAAATTTGATTATATTTGCTTATAAGTAAAAATTATTTTTCTAATCATGACTTATGAGTTGGCCAGCATCCCACTTTATTTTAAAGAAAAAAAAAAAGAAGGGTTGAATCCCAACCTTGAGGGCTTCCACCGTCCCGCCCCTAAAGTTTTATGAGGGATGTAAATGGCGGGATGTGCTCCAACAAGTCAGGGATTAACAGCAGTCTGTATACTGTGCTTACAAGGAATTCAATTCCATGTCTCAGGAATCGAACCCCCACACTCACTCTTGTTCTTCACACCACTGAATCATGCCCTGAGGGCAGCATCCCACTTTATTCATATGCCTCAATACGTGGTGAATAATGTATTTTAAAGAGCTAAAGCATTCTTTATGGGCCCTACATGTTTGGTTGAATTGTTAAGTTTATGCATTTTACTTAAATTTTTGGGAAGACTCTATTTTATTGGTTTTTGGTGTTTTTGTCATTTACTTTTTTCTGTAGATTAGTCTCGAAACTTTTTTCAGTAGATTGGTGTTTAATGGAAGGATAGACGAAAAAATTGTACTATTAATTTTAACAAAAATAAATAAATAAAAAATGAGCGACTATGTGTGGATGAAATAGTGATGTGCCGTTGTGTGTGCAAAATCTTGTTTATTTTCTCACTTTCTTTTCTTTTTCATTTGCTTTTCCTTCTTTTGTATTTTTTAATTGAAATAAATGTTTCTCTTTTTCTTTTTGTCTAGTTTTAGTTGAAATAGAGTGTTTTTCTATCGTATCCTTCAAAAAGTTTTATACTCGATAACGATGAAGAGACAAAGTTTACTATGACAATCGTCCCTAATGAATTTTAGAAGGGTTTTTATACTAGATGTACTAATCCATAGAACTTCGACTTTGGGCAGTTGTCCTTTTTTTTAGCTAGGAAAGTTGATGCCATATTTGATATCAATCCGAGCAGTTACTTGTCCTCCGTCGCTGATTTCGAACGCCACAAATCATTAGCATACATACTAGCAGTAACTGTTTTATGTGATTGGTTCTTCAATTATTCTTGTTGTAAATCATTGACTACATTTTGTCACATGGCATCATTTAATTGGACAGTTTCAAAGAGGTTTTTTCAACCAATCCCATTTTTATTTTTTAATACAACACGGTAAATGTCATCCATAATCTAAGAAATAAGTATACAAATGGCATAACCTTGGTTCTTGGCATTCTTCAGTCACTTCTATTTTCTATTCTTTGTGGGAATCTATTACAATTTTTTTTACAAGGGATAAAGCTACATTGAAAGAATATTTCGACAAAAAATTTGACATAATTGCAAGTGGAAAAAAGAGATTGAATGAAAAAGCTGACTATATTTAAAATTGTTCAATGACAGCATATCATGTAACATTATGCTAAACTTTATATTCCTATAGTATGATTGATTTGCAAACTGAGAGGTGGTATGAGCACAAGGAGAATGGAACATTCCCCAGGCCTCTGTAGTTCAAATCCATATTAGAAATTAAAGCCCTTTGCTACTTCGGTTTGCATTTACATTTTCTGGAAGCTAGTTGTTTGGTTCAATTATACTACAGTGACATAATCTTTGTCATAATGGTTGACAAATGCCACATGACACTTCATAATTGAACTATTTTAAATACAGTTAACTTTTTCATCCAATTACATTTTGTCAACATCCATTATGTCACTATTTCTGTCAACCATTTTCTAACAAAGTGACATAACCCTATTTGGTTTTCATTCAAATGACAATAGAATAAGAAATCATCATGACATTCTTTGCCGTTTGCATATGAACAAGTTACTTGATAAAAGCTCTCGAAGATTTTGATGCTTTCGAATGCCCATCCATACTATTTTGATGCTACCGACAACATCCTCGTTTTGTTTGATTATAATATCCTTTTTCTTGATGCATATAGGATCCATTTCATAGGATTTCTGCCTCTTCCAAAAGAGTTTATGGAGAAAACTACTTTAAACCAGCTTATTGTAGAAGCTCTTAAAAATCTTTCACAAAATTATCGATACATATTTAAAAGTGGCTTCTTAGTTTTAGATGCAGCTTTTAACTTTTCAAAAAATCCTGTTAAATGGGCCCGGTAAGAGCTTCTCGTCATTGGTTAACAAAATTTAATAGGCACCAAACTAGAAGACTGAAAAAAAGTGACATACAAGAATAGGCTAATTATTCGATTTGAACAAGGAAACCACATATCCTGTACACCTAAGCTAATGCAACACAGGTAGAGTAAAACATAGCACTCGAAGAGATTTTTAAACCCTCAAGATACTCATCCATAGTCAGTATCACTTCCATCCATCTCTGTTGTTTCTAAATGCGCAACATCCAACAGAGTACACAATGACAAGGAAAACGAGGATAATGATATTGATGATAGCCACCTTTTTCCAGTCACTCCTGATGTTATCAAGCAGCCCGGCCTTGCAGGAGTTGCAGTTGTAACACAATGTATTTGGCTCATTGTTCCAGGCGCTGCAGTCGGGATTTGCTGAGGACGAGGCTGACGTCCTAGTCCAGTTGGTCGGGCTAATATACTGGAAGTTGCAGTCATTTGATGGCTTACAGCAACCAGACTGAGGAAACAGTGAAGATTAGTGTATGCAATCCAATTAAACACATTTTTCAACATAGTTAATAACATACAACTGATAAAATCTACAGAATTCTACTCTTTAAGAAGTGTGAAAAGTTTTGTTTTAAAGCACAAATGAATGCAGATTAGGCAGCCTTGGTGACAGATTGAAGGTCAACACCAGGTTATTTCCCTTTCTTGGCTACAAATCTGGTTCTGTAAGTAAACAAACAGACAGTGTTGCTAGATCAGGTGCTGAGGAAGAATTTAGAGCAATGGCCCAAGGAATTCGCAAGCTACTTTGGTTAAGAATCATTCTTGATGATCTTGGAGTTGGGGAAGGGATCAATGAAATGTGAGATGTGACCATAAGTTTTTTTTAAAAAAAAAAAAGGGAAAAAAAAAGGGGAAAAAAAAGTTAACACACTTCACAAAAGAGAAAATATATAGTGAGCTAATTTGCACTCCATACGTTTCAAAAGGAGGACAGATAGCTGATATTCTAACCAAACGGACTAGCAAGCCACTCATTTCAAGAAATCTAGAAATGGATAATACTCATCCTCCAGCTTGATGGGTTGGGTTGGAAATTAACAATCCGAACAGGATTCGATGGTATTTTTGTGATTGTAATCCTTGATTATTGTAATCTGATTATTAGGCAGTTTAGCTAGGCAGGCTTTTGCCCCTTTGTTAGCATAGATGAATTCCAATATCTTGTACTCAAGTATTCAAAGCATAAGACCATCTTCCGCCATTATATGGGTTAATCGGAACAGATATCACTCTCCAGAAGACATCCCTGAAACTAAATTCAAGTCAACTAAGAGCCCCCCTTTGGCAGGGTTGCTTTGCTTTTGCTTATCCGCTTCCTTCAAAAGCTCTATTAATCAGATAAAGTACATCAAAAAAATTATCCAAACAGGTTCAAAAGCAACTTCTTTGTCGCAGAAGCAACATTGACTTAGCCATACCAACCTGGGCATAATCCAGGTAGCTGTTCTTTGCTTAGACAAAAGCTTAATTCAGAGAAATAGCCTCTGAACTTACTTTTTTCCCCTTCGTACTTTCGGAGATAGAAACCAAATCCAAGATGCATTTCCACACTTGAGGTGAAATTTGATCACAATTCAAACTAAATTAACCAAAGAGCTCAAGAAAACTAGAGTACAGCACGCCAGACAATTAAGTGGAAGATATTTAGACAAGGGTGAGATAAAATAATTACTGCAAAGGAAATATTCTGAACTCCTTAAGCGCTACATTTACGTCCAAACGAATTATAATCATCAGACTCGAAGAAATAGTAGACTGTAAAAGGAACAACGATATGGAAGGTTCGTGCTGAAGAATGATCAAGCAAAAGACCAAGTGACCATTTGCTCTGAAAAATATTTTTGGTGAGTTGTTAAATCATCATAAGTCAACATCAACAAAAAAAGTATTCTTCCTTTATAATTACTTCATTAAAGTTACCTTTTTCCAGACATCTCAAACTCCACTATGTTAAAGCAACTCTACTTTTTAAAAGCATCTCCAAGAACAGAATCTTACTATTGAAATACCCTTAAGTTTTCAAAAAAGCCCGGATACAGATGACAAAAATTAGCCACATAAAATCAGAATTTTGCCAAGATACAATACAATTATATGCTCATCTTTGAAGACTAAATTTAACAGATGAATGCGTCCCCTCGACGATCAAATAGATTAAACTTTCAGACGAGACAAGGTAGAGATACCTGAAGTGCAGAGAGGTGTTCTCTGTAAAAGTCTTGAACATCTGTTGGTGATTCAGTATCAAGCAACCTCTGACAGATCTTACTATCCTGCAAACAACTCCTAATCTTTCTCCAATTCTCATCACTTCTAACCCTTTTCTGCAGCCAATTTGAATAATCCCCAAGCCTGTACTCTTTGTACCCTCTACCAGACAAGGCTTCACCAGCCCCTTTATTTGTAACCACAAAGGCAAATATTGTGAAGGATAATAACAAGAGAATCAACAAGAACATTACCAAAAGATAGACCCATAAAAGCCATGATACTCTGCAGCAAGAACCCACTATACCAGCTAAAGAGACGGCTAGAATAAAGACTCCTAAAATTATAACTGGCGTATCAAGAAACCTCTCACACTCTGAGCTGGCTTGTCTTGAGAGCCATATGCCTGCAACAATTATTGGTATTGATAAAAGAAGCGTGATGATGTTGAGAATGCCTACTAAGCTGTTACTGAAGCGTACCATGGTTTAGATTGAAGATTTTTGAAGGAAAAGTTGAGGGTTCTTGATAATTTTGATTGGTAAGGATTTATGGGAAGAAATTTTGGTGAGAATAAAGGGATTCAAGAAAGTAGAGAATAATGTGGGTCCAAGTTAAATTGGATGGATCTCTGCGTTGTCAACTGGATGTGCACGTATCTGAATCCCACGTTGAAAGTATGAATTTTATTTAATTGATATGAATTTGAGCTCACCAACGTCAACAATTTGAACACTCTAACCTCAATAACTAATTTTTAAAGTATGATTCTTGCATGATCTTGGAGAATGACATCAACATATTCAATACTAGCCATGACTCGTGCAGAGCCAATCCCTTCGACATAGACGTTTTAGAATCTCAAACCCGTTTGAACCACATTAATATAAGAATGAGAATGAAAAATATAATCGTTATGGATCTCACACAAAAAATAAAAAATCAAATATGGTGACTTGATATGATAAATAACGATCATATTTTTTTTATTTTAATGGGCAAATAAAAGCAAACAAACAGGCGCTCAGAAGGATTTCTATGAACTTGAAATCTCTAACCTACTTGCTACTTTTCGATTGAGCCCCATTTTTTGGAAAAATAGATATTATAATAGTAATTTTTTTTTTTAAATGTACGATTAAAAAGTCTGAAAAAAATTTGAACTTATATGTAAAATTATTCTATCGAAAGAGAACGTGTGATTAAAAACTCACTTTATTACTAATGAGTTACTTGTTTCCTTATCCATTTTTCAAATGATCAATTAATCCACTGATTGATAAATTAAATCATACAAATCAATTTGGGGACTCTTCTTCTTTACGATACGGTGTCGTATTCAAAAATAACATTCTAGGGGCAATCGAGGCAACGCCACCGTAATTTGCCGCCATGGATCCACAGAGCCAAACCACTTCTCTACAGCGACTTCAAAATGTGGAAAAGGTAATTCCATCAAATATCAGTATAGAAAGTAAACCGTAACTTTACCCCCAATTAATTACTTAATTTCAATGCAAAATTATTTTTTTATTATATCTCAGAGAATAGTTAGGGTATTGGAACTAGCCGGAGGAGTGATGGATGAAATGGCGAGCCAGAGTGGTCCAAGAAAGGAACTTGTCAATAATCACTGTAGTGAGTTCATGCAATTAATCAAGGTCGTTAATTTTCTTGATTTCAATTGATGAATTACTCTTATTTTCTCTTCTTTTTAATTTGTATATACCTATTTCTGTTTCCGCTTGCAAAAAAAAAATTATTTTGTTCAGTTCTGGGTTTGAATTGGATGGAGATGTGTCGTTTTATTGGTTTCGTGTGTTTTATAACAGGACATTCAGTTTGCCCTGCGAGAGGAAATCAAAAGTGCTTGTGAGTATCGTCCATTTGAGAAGTGTGACTATGTTCCAAGAATATCTAACGAGATTTGTTATAAGAAACTGGAATATGTTATTGCTCAATTAGATGAGATGAAGCAAACAATCGAGGGATATCGCAATGCAGCTTGAGGGCACATGCTGTACAATATCACTGGGATATTGCTGTCTGTTGGGGGCAATTGGAAAATCGTGTAACGTTGAATATTTTGTTCAGACTTTTCTTGAAGATCGATGATCTGAAAAAAATGTAAGAAAATTATGATTCTTGATTACAGATTACTGTTTTTGTTTAACAAGTTTCCTTTCATTTCTCCCCCTGCTTAAGCATAGATTCATCTAATACTAGTAATTTTAGAGCAGTAATTTTAGAGCAGCACGTGTTTTAATTTTTCTCTACTTCCATTCCCTTTATTGTGATATTCCTACGGTGAGTAGGGTGTTTAGAATTTTCCAAGTAATGTTTATACTTGTAGTATTCCTAAATTTTAGAAGGTAAGGGATTTCTGAAATCCTTAATTAGTTAAAACTCAATATTTTGTGCTGGGGGGAAATGACAAGAAGTTGGAGTATACACTGAATGCCCACAACATCTAAGGACTTGCTCAGATTGAAGCAACCCTTGCCATGGGCGCCGTGCCAAGTTTCCTCTTTACTTACGGGGGTAACTTTATTTTCTATATATTGTTGCAGGCATTTAGATTTAATATCTGACCAGAGCATCTTATTATCTCGAAAGGGTGCTTGGATCATCTTTCCATCCAACAGCTTGTAATCTGCATTGGTCATTGTTATTATATTGGATTTCATGGATTTTACTTTAGTTCTTTGGGTTGTGAAACTCCAAAGGTAACCACAAGCTTGTAACCTGGAAGTTAAAATCTCAGATTTGCAGTAAAAGTACATGAAGGTAGTCGACATCATGCTATTAAGTCGACCAATATATGTTTGATCTCGAGTACTTCATTCGAAAGTAGAATTTCTTCTTCTTTTTAGCTCATTCAGTCTGTTGATCTTCTCCATTCTTTTTTGAGATATCTCCTTATATATGCTAGTGCCTGCCCTTTAAATCTTTCAGCCTCTTTGCAGATATGCACAAACTATGCACAAACTATAAAGCTTATAGGAGAAACCTAAGATCTTTGAATTTTTTTCTTATATTATTAAAGTGGCTAGAAACATGCGAAACTCCAAATTTCTGTCCATTATTGTACTGATCCATCAGACATTATGCCCGTGATATGTTGATTTGTCTGATAGAAGAGGCTCCTCCAAATCATTTCTACATCTTTTGTCGTTTGAAGATTCACTAGACGGTAGTTTCTGATTGCTTTGCTTCTTTGTTTTGACTTGGGTCAACGTTCATAGGTTCTTCACTCTCTTTTGCTTTGCCCCATAGTACAGCATATAATCCAACAATCACAGCAAGTGAACCTACGAAGCTGATATCAGAAGATATCCATTAGACTGATTAAATGTTTGGTCGAGAGAAATGAATAGTATTTTATTCGACCATTTTTAATATCATGTGGACATCTCTTAATGTAGAAATACGAAAGCCAAAACTGTCACTATGAATTTTAATAGAGGATTGAAGGTGGCAGAAAATAGTGGACCTCCTTGAGCAATGCTCCAGGATTGGGCAAAGAAAGTAATTGCTGAAGATACACCCTAGTCCAAATTCCCAAACACAGATTTTGAATAATTTTATCTTCATTACACAATAAAACAAGATACGATACTCACTGCCTAAAAGCAGCAAAGGAATTTGAGATACGAATTCAGTCGCCAAACTTTCATATCAGTGCTCCATGCAGTTAAAGATAGATGATCCGGGTAGCTAGCAGATAAAGGGACCTGTTAACAAATTATTCAAAAGAATTGAAAATCATTGAGAAATTGTAAAATATATGTAAATCTTGAGAATTGAGTACCTGCAAAATTAGCCAAAGTGATGAGCAACAAGAGCTTACAAAGAGAAATAAACAGCCTAGCAACCAATTCTCACCTCCTTGGCTGAATAGGGAGTTTATTGGCAGAAATTCCATTTAGAAAGATAAAATGAAATTTCATGGTCTTATGTTTAAAAAAAATAAAAAAAAATAAAAATTCGACCAACTTGTGAAATAAGCTACGGGAGTAATGACTAAGAAGGCGATGGATTGCCTCTACGCTACAAACACCCTTGAAGTGAAGATGGTTACTCCTGCATATGAATTGCAATGCAACTATTATAATTGATAGCTTGTAATCTTATAAACTTATATATGCTCAAAATACGCTTTGAAAATGTTGTGACACTCTTTATTTATAAACTTCCAAACACATTCATAATTAGAAATATTCCACGACAAGCGGTCATCATAATTTACGGGCTGAAGTTTGGAAGTATATGTAAGATGGTCTCGTGAATTATCTGGTACAATGTGCAGCCAGTGTTCTGTATATTGATAAAACATGCAATCATATGGAGAGTGTCATTTGGAAATGGAAATTTATTTTTTAATTTTTATTATTATTATTTTTTATTTTGATGTTGTCTGTGTGTTTAATATTGAATTGGGAACATATGTGAAAAACTTTATTGATGATTCCAATTTGTGACTCTGTACAGGTAACTATACAGTCGTACTGTATACTTATTCCTCAACCGACAACCGGAGATTGAATTGCTTGGGATATTATGATATACTGAGTGCTCTATGTACGTATTTAGACTAGTTAGTCACCCTAAGACCGTTAATGAAAAAAAGATATTTTTTGTTCGTTTTTAAGAAGTCAAAAGGAGTTTTTGAGATTCAAAAGTTAATAATTGATACCTATTTGATTCATTTTATGAAAGTATTTCTTTTAGTTAGAAGAACTTTTAGAGAAAATTTATCCAATTTGACTTTTTTTTAAAAGCATTCTAGAATAGGAAGACTTTTAAAAATTAGTTTTAAAAAAATAAAATTAAAGTAATTTCCTCATGAAATTTTTCTACAGGAAACAAAAGCAAAAGTAATGTCAAATTGGCGCTTAATTATTTTCAAAAATTGAAGAAGTTATTGTTGTATGAAGCTCATCCAGTAAAATATTGTGATTCGATAGATAATTTATAATCAAAATGACGTTGATTAATATTTTTTTTTCTTGAGGTGTCACTTCAATAATATAATAAAACATTTACTTAAAAAGTGCTCTCCCCTCGAGTTACGTAAGTTTGTTCGAGGTAATAAATCTTTACAAGTCACATGCAAGTTTTACTATGCAATTCTATGTAAGTTAGAGACGAGTTTCACTCAAATCTATGAACCTTTAAATACTTGATAGTATAAATAAGTGTATTATTTTAACCAAAAATATATTAAGAAAAATATTCAAAGTCAAAAAGGTCTAATTACTATTGCGTCAATAGAGCCGGTCCTGAGATTTTGGGTGTCCCGTGCGAGATTTTAAAATGGTGCCCTATCAAGTAACTAAAATATATATTAAACAATATATTTTAATAATATTATTTCATTACAAAAATATGATGTTTAAATATTTGTTTGATTTTTTATTTTTTACATACATGAACACGAAAAATATAAATAAAGTTCAAAAGCATCTCTCGAACTTCATCTAAAGTCATATGATTGTTGTTTTCTAGGATACATTTTAAACTTTGATTTGATAACAACAATAAAAACTATAAAAGCATTTAATAAAAAACTATATTGATAACATCAATAAAAACTATATTGAGGAAACAAAAACTCACTTGTAAGTGTTCAACTTCTCCGAAGGAAAAATATGTCGTGCTTCCTCAATACTCAATCCCCACGTTCAGGCAAAGCGAATTCAGATTTTAACAAGTTCTTGCAAAGTGAATTCAAATCACTAAAATTATGGAACGAGATTGACAAAAAGATAATAGATAATTCAGATTTTCAGCGAGGGTTTAATGAAAAATATGAATCGTCAATCGTCGCATAAGGAAAAGAGAGAATTTTTTGGAGTCAGATCAAATATGATAGGAGAAAAAGACGATTTCTCCAAAAAAAAAAAAAAGATTGGTTTCTCTCTTTTCTGCCTCAATTATCTTTGAGGCAATTAGAAAAGACAATTGGTTTCTTGAATTCTTTTCTCCAAAAAGAAGATTAGAAAATGTGGTTGTTCAATTTTTCTTTCTTCTCTCAATTCTCTGGTCGGTCTGGTCTCTTTTTGACTTTTCCTTCTCCCTCATATTATTTGAGGTAGGAATACTATTTAAGAATATTATATTCAAGGAAATTATAATTAGTTAGTGACATTATTCTTAATTTTAATATCTTATGCATAATAATAAAAATTTTATATTTTAAATATTTAATTATAAATAAATATACAACTATATAAAAAAAAAAAAAAATTTGACGCCCCTACAATTTTGAGGCCCTATACGATTGCTCAACTTGCGCAATCTCAGGGCCACCTCTGGCAGTTAAGTTTGGTTTTTCATGCAGAGTACTTCTCGAGGGACAGTGCAAACCACAATAAATGCACATTGAAAAGTGCAGTCTCAAATTTGTCAAAGTTGGCATACCTTTATAAATTTTAAGTATATATTTTTATGCAAAACATAATAAATTCACAATGAAAATTGAAGTCGTATTTTGCCTAAGTTGGCACCATAAGGTGGTAGTTAGATCTAAAGCTGAAAATTCATCAAAGTCACTCGATTTGTGCGAGGATTTAGAAGAATTTCAATGGCTATCCCATAACAAATAACGCTAGCCATTCTTTTTAGATTACATTTTAGTTTATAAGTTTTGTTAGAATTTTTCTTGTTCTCTTTTATAAGATAGAAGTAGGTTATCGTTATTAGATTGTTGTTAGTCTTTTTGGTATTCTTCGCATATCAACACATATCTTACTTAGAATTTTAATATATTCAATTGAATAGACTAGTTTTTGAAGTCGTAATATAATTATGCTGGTGCATGAATGCACCTCTTAAAGATTGATAAATGTAGAAAAAGGTAGCAATCATTTTCGTGGTCTCTATCGTGACGAATAGGTCCACTATACAACATGTAGAATAAAGTCACATGGGCATTGTTGTAAGTTGGAATTATTATTATTATTATTATTATTATTTTTTCTAAAACAGTTGGAGGTAATTAATATGGCTTACTTTATTAGATTTAAAATACTAATTGGATAATTCAAACTTTAGGCACTCACTCTTATTGAAATGATGAAAAGTGTAACGGTGGCCAATAGAAATGATGCTTTGGAAGTTTTAGTAAGATAAACACACATTGTTCGACATGCACGACTTGCATAACATGACATGTTTTTGTCTAGTTGTATGATAAACATAATGCAATACAAGTTTTTCTTCTTCCCTCATTATTTCTGTTACGTGTTCGCACACTTAGGCAACCCACAGGGCCCACAACCAATTCATGTCGAACCACGTGGCACTCAATCCGATGTGATTTCCATAGCCGATGCCTATTTATCATTGCCTCATAAGGATCTTCCGAAGCCCATATGCCGAGGCCCTTTGAAGGTGGACGAGGCCCTGTTTGCCAAAGCTCTGTAGCCGAGGTGATAGCCTACGAAGCAACTTCTTCTATAGACACCTCTCACCTCTCCCAAGAGATCCCCTGCACAAAGAT